AGATAACTGCAAAGCCCTTTATAAACAAGACAAAAAAATGAAGCTTTGCAGCACAACAGGAAAAAGGAAATGCTTTGGAGATAGGGTGTAGTATGTATACTATACTGAGCCATGACATCAGGGTAATTATTTTTCCCTAAGGCAAACGTCTTGTGTTACAAATTCTTCCCTTGCCAGAGGCCTCAGGCCCCGCAGATGTTCAGATAGCAAAGCACTTGAGTTCTCAACACCCAAGAGGTCTCTAGGAGCTCTATTCCTATACCATACCTACAGACCAATCCATCTCTGGTTCTCTCAGTCTGTATTTGTTGACCCCTTTCACCTGTCAGAGGCACCTTCCCCTTGTGTTTCTCAAACTACTTGATGCAGCTTTGAAAGACAAGGTGTGCCCTTGCAGCAGACCTTTCCACTGGCTTCTACTTCTGCTGTAGTCAAGTTTCTATCCTGTGCCGGGGCCAGATTTCCAAAACATGTCGATTAAGCGAACACTTCCCACTGAGAAAAAAACCCGATAGTCATCTTCAACCCTACAGTAAGGTCCGGTAAAGGAAGGTTCAAATAAACAGAGATTCTTTTGGGATCTCCTAATTAGAAATCCCTTTCTGAAGGTTCATGTGGTACTGCCGGGTAAGAGATTTTAGATGTTCCATGACCCTTTCCCCCATGTTTGTTACAAATAAAACTCCTTAAGATCAAACACATGGTAATGCATATTACTTATGGTATTTATTACATAGGAAATAAACCAAATTAAGGGTGATCATACTACCTCAACAAGTTACCTAGCATTTGCTCTGTAACGATAGATGAAAACAAATGATTTAAAGACATTAGAGTTAATATTTTAAGTCACAAATGACCGTTGAATATACATATTTTAAGCACAACCCCTTTTAAAAAAAGTTGCTACTCATTTCCAGCATGAGAGTGGGATTGTCCAGATGAAAAAGTTGTTAAGTATAAATACCACTCTTTTATATTAGTGAGCAAATTGTGAAATCAATTTTAAAGGAAAACTCGGAATCTGCTACCTATATTGTTTACGCTTAAGCCACACAGAGTAATGGAAATAAATCATCATGTCTGGTTTTGCTTATGAAAATTAATTACTATTAAGGTTACGTAATTACGGGTCACACTTACAATATGATCTGTTTTAAATTAAATAGTTAACAATACCAGTTAAGGCATTCCCACGTATTTCTCTGTATTTACTATAGGAAACAACACATACATTGGCGTAATGCGATGGCGGTATGTCTTAAAAATAACTGCAGCATATGTTTCTGTATTACAGAAAAAGTATAATGCCATAATAATATAATAATACTTTCATATATAATATCAGAGATATACCAGAGTACATTTGAAAATCCGTAGATTGAAAGCAGAGCCCACTTCTAAGGAGTACTTATGTGAAAATAGCACCCTTCTATAAAAATTCAGTATTCATTTGCAACAATTATGCCTCTTTGTGTTAGTCAAAATACAAAGTGGATCATGTTGTGCAGTTGTTTCAGATTTTTACAAGTGTAAATAGATTACAACAGAAATTGCAATGCAAAAAGAAATATTAAAAGTATACTTCAGTTGAGAACACTTACTGGTGTAATACATATTCAGAATTGACATAATGTACCTAACCAGCCATTTAAAAATGAAAAGTAAAGAAACACTTCAAGTTTAATGCATACAATTAATCTTGACTTGGCTTTGTACTGACTTAAGATAACATAATTCTGATTAAATTATTTTCACGCTTGTGGTCCTAAACTAGACCAAACTGGTTTTTAAAGGAATGTTTTTCCTTTCACAGAACTCCTTAGCTGAAGCTTCTAATCTGGCCTGAGAAAAATCAGTTTTGAAACCAGTGTAGTGTTGGTGCAAAACGTGCAATTACTGCAAGTAGAAGATAGGAGCGTCCAAGCCAAATAGCTGCACAGGCAGACGTCGCAAGTGTGAGCTTCCAGGTTTAATTACGATAGAGATTTCACATTGGCCCCAGTCCACAGTATGTTTAGGCAATTGATACTCATTTCAGTCAACCATCATTCTTTGTCTTCAACAGACATCCCAACGGAATACAAAGATTTGTCTCATTCCTCTTGCCCTTCCTTATACAACTGACAAATGTTAATGGTTATTCCATCAAACAGTGTAGGGCGGAATTTCATACAAGGTATTATGTCATCTACAGTTTGTTGGTGCTGGTTTCAGCTAAGGGGAAACTTGAAAAGGATGTCAATAAGTTACTAAGCTGCCAAGGGAAAGGTAAAGATATTTGACACATGGTATCTACAAGACAAGACTATAAAGCCTAGGATGCTGGTTTCACAGTAGACATCAAAAGTCTGTTGATAAAAAAATAAAAGTGAGGATTATTCTGTAGGCAAAATCTGAAATTTTGAAATTTGGTACATAATTATTCAGTCTGACAGTACCAAAAAGACTTCTCATAAGGAATTTTGCTAGATATCTCTCCATTTACCCCACAACATACAAGACATAACACTACAGAAAACTATATACTTTCTGGCACCATGGCGATCATTCCAAAAGCTATGGAAGTTGTGGCAGTGATTTAATTGGAAACAACAGGTTTGCCAGTTAGTGGTAAAGCTGAAAGTACACATGAGCAATTGTTTTCCAAAAGCAGAAAAAAATAAGTATGGAAAAACTCAGCTGGATTTCCAGTTGACCATAAGCCTTGATGACCAATGGCTTGATGCTCCACTGATTTCAGTATCTTAGAGGGATATTTCCAAAGTTTTTATTAAATGCACAACTAAATAGACTTTTTAGAACATAGTGTGTCTGTCTCACTTCGAAAAACAGAAAGCAGCATGACTTTTCAGGAAGAAATAGATATGTCCTACAAACAAAGTAAGTAATATATTGCAGTCTTATCGAATCATGCAAGACAACAATTAGTAAAAATACTGGCCTGATCCTATGAATACAACTTGCTGTACTTACTACCTTGCAAGTCCCGTGTTTCAGTCATTTGCCAAATTCTTGCTTCATGTGTACTTCATTAAAAGCTCTTAATTTAATTTTCACCTGTTTACGCTTTCAACAACTTCACTTTCACATTGAGACTGCTCCCATGACATCAAGTGCTAAATAAAATCTTCAGCTTAGCAACAGAAAGATCTTTTCTTACTAATACTTTCAATAACTCACCTTGAATGGCAGGCCTAGTGTGACTCATTGACATTCCTGGGCCCTTAAATGAGTTGAACTCATCTCTCAGGAGAAGGAGGACTGTCTTTGTCTGGGCACAACAGATAGCATCATTCATCAGGAATCTTTGAAATATGCCTTACTGTTCCCAAAGCAATTGATTTGCCTCCCTGTGCTTCAGACTTTATCAGGGCAACTTGGTCAGAACTCTTAGAAACTGGTACAATAATACCTACAATCAGTTCAGACTCAGCTGCAGAATTATTTTTGGCTCGTAAAGGAGAAAGAGCTAGATTACCAGTCCCTTCATCCATGACGACTGCAACTGATTTGGCAGCTCTAACCAGACTTGCAAAACTAACCTCTCTGATAACCCCCTGAAACTAAATTTTTCTAGCAAACAAACTAGCACATTTTGGCTGCCTCTAAATTAGCGGGATCCAAACTTCATTGCACAAATCTGTTTGAATGGAAATCTCTTGACCTATTTACATCTCCATTTCTGACTCGGGTTTCTGTTTGGTGGCTGTGATTAAAAAGTACAGCAATCATGTTGAATTAAAATAAATTAAAGCTGTGCACTTTCCCAATTAGGCCTTTTGTGGGATGTCTTTCAACAGGAGGACACGCCCATCCATCACTCTGAATTGCAAACACGTTTTAAAAGCTTCATTCTCTCTTAGAATTTAAAATTTCATAATTAGTTATCATGGGTGTGGTTAGAGTTGCAAAATGTTCTCCCCTTACGGGTGCAGAGCTGGAGCACTTGAATCTACAACTGAGTCGCTAGTTTGGAAAGGCTGGCAAACCCCGAGTTAAACTCCAAACCAACTATCAGCTTGTGAATAATCACATATATGAATTGAATTTGAATTGTTAATTATGTACTCTGTTTATTTCCATGCCTCAGCTTCTCTCCCCTGTATTACCTCAAGAGCAACAAATGAATCGAAGTTTTATTCTTCACTTAGACAAATACAATTTTAGGCACAGTAATATTACATACATTTTTAGAAGCCAAAGAGAAAATTACCTTCTATTTAAGTACACAGGGTATTTGCATTGTCACAGTATATTACACGGATTTGATGCTTAACATATAACTGACCTAATCTTTGTGGCAAACACAATAACAAAAGAAAGTTGTTTGGAGAATTTTCTATTTTTATTTTTAAAAGTAACAAAAACCTTTCCATGGAGGGACCACATGTACAACTATGGTTTCTCTGCACAGAGACCAAGGCTGCTTATTACCTACAGTATACTAGCTATGATGAACAGACCACCATAGTTGTGACAACTGATGTTGCTGCCTCCAGGGTAAAACAAAGGTTTACATATTACACAAGCAATTTAACTGTTTTCTAAACATATTGCCAAGACAGTGGGAGTTGGCAGCCAGCACTGTGTTTTAGGTTTTGGATACTTGGATTAGAAGTGACTGCTGATTATAGACCTTTTTATTTGTCTTCTACGAATTACAAGCAACCTAGTAACCCAGCAAAGAATCCTTCACAGCACTTAAATTTGTCTTCGTGGCTTCCCAAAGATTACATACACAAATCACTCCACAAAAGTGGCGTAAGAGACTTGTGCATAGATAACTACATAAGACAATTATCTTGTTCTAACTCTTAAAGACTTCCCCAAAGTGAAATGTTTTATAATCCTTTTTGTGCAGTAGTCAGGAAAGAAATAAAAGAGTTTGGGCAAAGATTATCCACAAGAAAGAAACTTCTTTTTTTTGGGTTCCAGCTGAAACACAATAAAGAACATAATTAACTTCACAATTCTTTGTGTTTTTCATTTGACTGCAGGGAGGAGATGAAAGAGGACTGTTAAGCCTTGCATTCCATCCCAATTACAAGAAAAATGGAAAGCTGTATGTGTCTTATACCACCAACCAAGAACGGTGGGCTATTGGACCTCATGACCACATCCTTAGGGTCGTAGAATACACAGTATCCAGGTATCAGTAGAAGTCTAAAATTCACTAATTCTGTATTTCTCAGCAACCTTTTCATTTTAGTATTTCCTGTTTCTAGAATGAACTATCAGATTTACAACATGTATATGGGCACTTGCAGAAAAATTATTGCTGATTTTATTTCAAACAGTAGTTTGGGGACACCAGTAAGTACACTGGTTTATTCTTTTTAAGACTTTTTTTAGTTATTTTGTCATTTTTAAATTATAGTTATTTCCTACTTATTGTGTATAGGCAGCAAAATATTTTTTTGTGAATGCTGGAAAACTGAAATTTCTCAGAAATAATTGTTCGACATTTTTCCACCAAGTTACAACAGCCACATCTTAAAGTGTAATTTGAATGACTCATTTATTTTTAGAAATTTTAGAATTTTTAGATAGTGAACAGTGAAAACTGTGTTCATATCTTTATATTGTAGGAAAAATCCACACCAAGTTGATATGAGAACAGCAAGAGTGTTTTTAGAAGTAGCAGAACTGCATCGAAAACACCTAGGAGGACAGCTTCTGTTTGGCCCAGATGGTTTCCTGTACATTTTCCTTGGAGATGGCATGATCACTCTGGATGATATGGAGGAGATGGATGGTTTAAGGTACAAAAACTACCAATGGCTAGACTTCTATTATTGTCTTCTGGTTTCGCACAGTATTTGGGGTCAGAATCAAAAGTGATCGGCAGTTGTCAGGACAAATCGTACTCCCTTTTCCTTTACTACGTAACCCAACTATTTGCAGTGCCTGGGTTTAGCAAACTGCTGATTTTCAGAAGAGTCTTACTGCTTAAATAGATCTTCTTGTAGCTATGTGCTATCAAACCACTTAAATATTGGAGCCCTCATCATTAGATGTAATTGTATTTAAGCACAGGTTAGAGTTCTTTTTTCTAAACTATTATTCTATCAACAAGACAACTTTATTGAGCAAACATTCTAAAAAAGTGTCTACAAACACATACCAGTAACAACACTGCATCACTTAGGAAAATGTCTAGAGAACATACGAAGCAATCCTACTTTGGTTCTACCTATATAATTTTCTCAGCCTGCTTTTTCCCCTCTGTTTCATTACGCTCTGTTAGAGCTGCAACATTTGCCTTAATTTAGAGAAAGTGTGATACCAAGCCTTTAAAGACCAAAAAGGAGTTGCTGTGCTCAAAGACCTCTTTAGCTGAGCAGAATAGCAGGTGCTCCTGCCCTTTGCAGTGAGGATGTACTTGAAACCAAGACCAGAGAGCAATTCTAATACCTGGTTTTAAATTAATGTAAAACAAGGGGAGGCTGAAACAGATTCATGATGAGGAAAGACAGAAAGGAATCAATTTAAATATCACATTTTTTCATGTCTGTAAAAAGAGTTTTGATGCTCTTCTACATTCTTGTCCTTCTCCCTTCTTCCATCTCGGACATGAATGTGAGGCAAAACTTTTCACTCTGTCCTGTTTCATGTAACAAGAAAGTTCTTATACTTCACAAAAAATACCAACATCTCCATTCAACCGATACAATTACTTTTCTTTTAAATTAATGTATAATTAATCTTTGGATTGTACTGGGACTAGAAATCATTGAATTCAAGATTAGGATTCAAACTATTAGCCAAAGCATTATGTAACTACATAGTGATTATATCCACAGTTACTCCAGATGAAATACAGTATAAAAGAGTTAGTAGCCTTATGTTTGCAGTCATAAAACGATACTGATGTATGGAAAATTGCTCTTATTATCAAGTTGCTTCCAACAGCACGGTCAGAGGTGTTCTAGTATGCACGTAACAGTGCAACATATTGGCCAAACTGAATCTTTGATAGCTTCTACTACTATTCTTCGGACTTGCATGTACCATAAAAACAATCTATATGTGATTATTCAGTAAAGTGGGTGGTTTATTTTGCTGGTTCACTGTAGCATGATATGGTTTAAATCTACCAGTAAAATACTTTTAAAAAGCAATTATTTTATCCTCCAACTTTCTCAGTGATTTTACAGGTTCTGTATTGCGCCTCGACGTAAATACTGACCTGTGCAATGTCCCTTATTCCATACCACGGAGCAACCCACATTTTAATAGCACAAACCAACCTCCTGAGATTTTTGCACACGGACTTCACAATCCAGGACGGTAAGTAAGTTTCAACTACACTGAATTACTCTGGAGCAGATACTGTTTTCAACCAGAAATCTTTTATACAGTCAGGGAAAAAAATTTTAACAACAATAAGGCACTCGTGAACTTTTTAAAACTTCCACTCCTCCACCTCCACACATATGGCACAGTGAGAACAAATGTATGTTGGCAAAGGGGAAGGAGAAGAGCAGGCACAATTATTAGAAGGCAGGACTGAAATGACAGAAACAAAGTACAAGATTTTTGTTTTTAATGAATAATAAAATGACTACCTTTACAAAAGAAGAGAACTTAAAGTAGAGAGTTGGTAAAGTACAGCTGAGATGGGAATTTTGATTGAGAAAAAAAGGCACGTGGAAAACAAATGAAAACATCTGGTGATATCTAAACAATAACAAGAAGTAGAACAATGCTTTAACTAAACAACACGTAATTCAGCAAATTAAGTGGGTGGTAGTAACATTTAAAGTCATGATTTGAAAAAATTTAGGAAGTCAAGTTGTTCAGATAAGGAATTGATTCTTGGACTTTTTAACAGTCCAAAATTCCTACACCGTGTAAGTCAACTCATTTAGCTTGGTTAAAGCACTATTCATTTCAGGTGCTATTAAGCAGAGTACATTTTATCATTAGGAAAAAATAGTTCTACTTCACATTATATAAAAAATGGTGCAGGGATGGGATAGGTGTATTATCTCTTGTATACAAATCTGACGCACTTCTCAGATATTCTGGCTCAGTATGAAATATGTCCCTCAAATGAGCAGGCACCATAAAGAAACAATAATCCTTCAAAATGTGATGCTTCATACTACAGGTAGAAAATTATACATTATGAACTCCTCTATCTCATGGATTTTCTTCTATTTTTTGCTTTACAGATGTGCTGTGGACCGCCACCCAACAGACGTAAACATCAATTTAACTATACTTTGCTCAGATTCAAATGGAAAGAACAGATCTTCAGCAAGAATCTTACAAATAATAAAGGGTAAAGACTATGGTAAGTTCCATCCAGGGTAAAGCTACTGGGAACAGTTGGTTTCTGTGCCCACGGAACAATAAATGGAAAGCTGAAGAAAACAGAGAAAAGACTGTATAGCCATGATAGGTAACTTACAGCATAGACAGGATAGGTAACCTAGAAAAGATCGAACTTACGAGAAGTAAGGTACAAGCAGATAAAAGATGCAAGACAAAACAAAATTTAAACTTTGTTCTTGTTGGTGTAGAATATCACGTAAATAAGATTTAAGAAATATGCCAGTTGCTAGTCTGTCAAAGATCTCACTTGCTGCATATGATGGCTCATAAAGAAAAGATTTTGGAATATCAGGAACATATTCTTAGTCCCTCACAAACAACCTTTTAAGATACAGAGTGGAAACCTCATGTAATGTGCCGTCTATAATGGAAAAAGTGAGATAGACAACAACAGACCACAACCAAACAGGGAAATGACTGAGCTCTGTTTAAATGTTACTAAAATTGAAAAACTTAGAAAAATGCACTATGCTACTACTTCGTAACAATTACTAGTTTACATTAGATTGCAAAAAGATAAACATGCTCAATTAGGGTCTTAAAATTTTAAAGTGTTGCATGTTCTCTCTGAATCAGGCATTTAGGCAAGCCAGGTGACGGTTACTCTGAGCTATCATCTATCTTGGTTGACTATTTAGCGGTTTGTAAAGTCATGGTGGTAAAAGATGATAAATGCCAAAGGTGTGTAAAGGCATCAAGAACTGGTCTGTCTCCTGGAACATTTTTGGGTTTCATTCACACCCCTAGTTCTCCCACCTGTACTTTACTTAAAAGCAAAGCAGCTGTGCTGGCTAGTACAATTGTACACAACAGTGTAATGCAATTGTTCTACTTTAGTTACTGCAAGTATTGTCTGCGTTCATTTTATAAAAGCCAAACCAAAGAATAATATTTGGTAAACCACTGCTCCAATGGAATTTTGACTGCATCTTTATTGCAGAGTAAACTAAGCAATATTGTGTCTATCCAGTACAGCTTGCCAATATTAATACTAGGCTGTGGGTCAATTGCTTCAATAAAAAGAGCTCATCATCCTTTCCTTCCACATAAAATTTCAGCTCTTACACCTGTAGAATAATCTGGGAAATTCATTTATCAAAGACTTGCAGATAGCCCTCCGACTAAAAAAAAAGTTCTTATAAAACAAAAAGGTGTATTGGCTGTGACTTTAATTTAAAATGATGCAGTTAGCATGTCAAGTTGAGCCTAGTTTTACCCTAAGCAGTATTTGATTGCATGAATAGGAACATTTACACTGAAATTTCCTTGAAGACATTATTTGATATCACTAAATTCTGCAGTTCTGTAAAAAAAAAGAAAAAAAAGTAGGAACTACAACTACAACAGCAGCATAAAATAAATTACCACAAGAAGCTACGGCCAGCAATACTAATGTTTTATGGGATATAACACACATACCATGTTTAAAACGGTGATTTTGAAAGAGTTTCTCAAACCACTGAAAGGCTTTGAAAACAAGTTCTGCTGAAAATCACTGGAATTTCTGCTCTTAGATACTGGGAGGACTTCACAGTGAAGGGGGTTTAATTGTATTCCTGAAGTTCAGGAGATCCATTCTGCAGACTGTATTGACACGTAAAAGTTAATAGCAGTAATCACATCAACTTCATGAAAGTCCAGCCTAATCCTTATAGTTTTATTCTCCCAGCCTGTGCACACAGAAGAAAGCAATTATAGCCGCTCCTATATAAATCCCTAACCAATTGTTTCACAGACAGCCTCTGTTGCAATTTTCTGATTTTTGTAACATTTCATTTCCGGCAACACGTCTTGAATTTTGAGGAATGCTTAAATGGAATTAACCTCTTTTCTTCAAGTAATAACATTTTCATAAACGTGAATCAAAATATGAAACTGCATATGATCTAATGCTACGGTAGTTCCTTTTTAGAAAGTGAGCCTTCACTTTTAGAATTCAAACCATTCAGCAGTGGATCCTTGGTTGGTGGATTTGTCTATCGAGGCTGTCAGTCTGAAAGACTCTATGGAAGTTATGTATTTGGAGACCGTAACGGGTAGGTTTCTTATAACTCACTCTTAAACAGCAATGCTTATAAGGTATATTTAGTTATTCAGCTTCCTGTATAAAGGAACACCACCAGTCTTGTATGTCGTGTCACTTTGCCAATTTAGCGGTATGACAATGCAGATAAAATTCTAGATTTGGAAATAAAATAGCACAGCATTCTAAGGAATGGCAACATATGTAACCTATCTGCTCCTTGGAAAAAAGTACAAAGACACTCACATCATGGTGCTCTTAAGATTTTAGTTCTACAAACACTTACATGCATCACGTACATTATAATGGGAATAAATGTTAATTGTGGAACTGTTTCCCAAACAAGTCTAACTGGTAAGACATTGAAAACTTTTGGGGTTTTAGGGAAGCATCACTGATGGAGCAAAATGAATGTTTTTTAATGAACGGGCATAGTTTTCCCATGCCAAATAGCTCAGTATCCACAAATGGCTACATAGTATAGCTTGAACCCAATTTTGCAATGTTTGAATGACGAAGGGAAATGCTGTGCTTTTTAAGCATCTGAAAAATAACAGGCAGGAAATCATAAGATGATGAACTGCACAGATGTATCTATAGAGCTACTTGCAGCAAGTGTTTACGTGTTCATCTGGACAGTGAAAACTCCCTATTCAAAATGTAACATAACTATTTGCTTTATGTGTTTTTGAATATAGAAATTTTCTAACACTGCAACAGAATCCTGCAACCAAACAGTGGCAAGAGAAACCCCTCTGTCTTGGCAACACTGGCTCATGTAGAGGTTTCTTTTCAGGCCCTGTCTTGGGATTTGGTGAAGACGAATTAGGTAAATAGTAAAAAAATCTTATTAAATGATAAGACTTATCGGTAATGCCTGCAAACTATTCAAAATTATAGTAACTGTTTAAAAAGAAGAAATCCAAAGGCTATCTTTCATTTGCCAAAGCTCTCTACACTGCTCTCAGCTACACCTTAGCAGCCTTGTAAGAAGAACTGGAAAGAGAATGGGTTGTTGGAAGGGGCAAAGGCCCTTACTGTCTCTCACATTCTGTGAACTGTGTTACTCACTATGACCCAATGTGTCATATACTTGCTTTTATTCCCAACACTACAGACGTAAGGGGCAAAGATATTGCATGAGCAGACCGATCCCCCTCTTCTCCCTTCCTTCCCAGTTTTATTTCTTTTAACCAATTCTATACAGTATGAAACAAAAAACATTCATGATAAAGTATCTTTCACATTTTCGCATCAGTTACGGGAAAGTGCAATGATTCTGTTCTATATTTCAGTGGTGAATGTTTCTCCTGAAGTTTTTTTAATCCCATCTTGCAAATACAGCTAGATCACAAAAGTCACCTGTTTGACATCTTAGGAAAGGAGAACTAATTTATTGCACTGGTTTCTTTAACAGGTGAGATTTACATATTATCAACCAGTAAAAGTATGACACAGCCTCACAGTGGAAAACTCTACAAGATCGTTGACCCAAAAAGGTAAGCATCGCATTTCTCACTAAGATCAGTCTTTCCTTCAACAGGTAAACCAAAAGGTAAATGTAGTTCTTTCCATGTAGCTGAATTATGCAATAGTGACATTCAATAAGAAGGGAAATTCTCAATGCAGGGGGCTTCCTAAAAGTGAATGTACCATCAGTGGCACGCAGAAAAGATTCACTAAAAGTAATCGCTATCTCATAGAAAGGGAATGCCAGAACAACAGAGGTGTAACCAAGACTAACTTCTGGAAATTTTTACCCTTCAACATTATGCTAAATGCTGCCTACTTTCCCACCTAGATTCACATTCTTTGCATATTTTGACAGAAGTGTAGACATATTTAATGTGGCATCATATGGACCAGTACAGGTAAAAGATGCTCCTGACAGTTCTGAAGCCAAATGACTTGTAGGTACCACAAAGGTTACACAGCATCAATAGAAGGTAGATGCTGGAATTCTCCCCAGTGCTACTGCTTCCTCACCTGCCACGGCGGTGGGACAGTGCACAACGCGAGCTGGCTCAAAAGGTTAGTACTGGCTGACAATACCTGCTCTGTATACAGAAAGGCTACTACAGAAAATAATTTGACAGTACTAGCTAGTGGACAAGCCATTCCCGGTCAGTTCCAGTCTCACTTCCTCAATTTCAGTTTTGCCATCAGTAAGCTCTAAGGGACAAATTCAGTCTTTCCCAAACGTCTCTTCTATTGTGTAGGAAATACCACCATGGAGAGTAATAGAGAGGACTGAAACCTCAGTAGGTGTGTATTGTTACTGCTTACCAGTTTTCAACATCCTTCCATACCCCTGCAGTTACCTGTCCCTCCCTGGAGAGGTTTGGAGCACCAAGGAAGGAAACTTTCTGTCCTTGGACCGCATGCCAAAAATACACTAAATTCTTTAACAGTTCTTAAAGCACTGTTTCCAAAAGGCTTACAGATCCCACTCAAATTATTCATAAAACATGGAATCAACGTGATTGGTTTAATTATTTGGACTAATTTACCAGTTGTAAAATGAGGATAAATGAAAATTATCAAACCAGAGTTTCTTGAGATATGATCTTTTCAGAGCAGCTAGAGCTACGAAAATATTAGGGAATCTGGAAGGACTGCAAAAAGCCAGTTCCCAACATGACCCATGGGCCCCAGCAGCAATAAGAGGAGATGACTAGCAGATACTCACTTTAGCCGGCGAAATACCATTTTCTTCATGATGGATCTTGCTGCTTTATCAGGCCAAGTCTGTGGCATGTAAAGGTACCATATTCACCCTGCAAATGCATCAGAAATTAACACAAAATTAAACAGCCAACAGAAATTAAGTTTGTCGTGTTCATTAGTTTGACCCCATCGTACCCTGCAAAAGCAACTGCCTATTTGTTCAGCATCCACTTCAGCATGTTTCCCCATTAGCATCAGATACAGTTAGGCTTGCGTTTTTAGTTCTGCTGTTGATTGTGCAAGAGAGGAATTTATTTTCTTGTCAGAATTTAAATTCTGAAAATTGTTATTGGGACAACAATTGAATTCAATAATAAATACATTAAATTGGACGCATGCTGTACTGTCAGTTACAGTAGAGTTTCAGTGTTTTATAATTATACAATCCCAAGCTTATAGCAAATAATTTGGAAGCAGATGTTACTGCGAGTTAGTGCAGTCTGTCAGTCAAGGTTATTATGTATGTTTTATTTATGCTTTCTGGTATTAAAAACATTTTTTTAGAACAAAACTTGCCATTCTTACTGGGATTGTTTAGTCTGTTGGTGTATGGTTTTAAGTGAATTTTACACCCTAAATCCACTATTAGTATCTAATTACATGGGGCTGCCTTGTTTGACCTCGGCTTTTTGTTCTTGTTACCTCTTCCAGTAGGGTGGTCTTCAGCTGACATACCTGAAAGGCCAGACCTCCCATTGCTGCACTCACGGTTGGCTGTTTTCATGTATGGAAAAGGGTCAAGACTGTGTTTGGTTACTGGTGAAAGTAACCAGAAAACTATAAAATACTTTTGTAAATTGGCACACATTTGAAATAAAACAGACTGTGGCAAAGGGATATAGGTTTTGGTAACACTTTTTAGAAACATGGAATAATTTTCATTCAGGCAAAGTTTTGAGTTTTGTTGTTTTTCAATCTTACACCATTGCAGGCTTTTAAGTGAAAGATAATGAGTTGCCTCCACAAAAGAGCATTGCAGCTCTATTTACCATGTCATGCTAATGTCACATTACACATGTAAACAATTTAAAGATTCCATGGCAAATGTTCATGTAAAGCTTTATTAGCAAAATATTAATTGTTATTCACATGCCAGTATTTGTTTGCATGCTGGTATTTTGTTACTCCTTTTAATGTCTTCCTCATGGTATGCGCCATACAAATACCTCAAATGTAGGTGTAAACCCTAACACAGTAAGCTTTCTAGAACACAAAATAAAGATGCTACAGGTGAGCTATGAGCTTCAGCAACAAATAAAGTCACCAAAGTATTGATTTGTCATGTTTTAGAAATTCATTACTTACAAAACCCTATGAGAGGTGGCCCCTGGCAGACTCATCAATCTGCAAAGAGAGCCTTCCATGCATGGGACAGTGTAAAAGAACAAAATTATCATTCCTTGTGATAGCCCCTTGCTGAAAATTAATAACTTCATGCAAAAACCAATCTTCTTCTGCTACTGGTCATTTGTAAGCTGCTGCAAGCTTATGAAATTATTCTTTTATTCTAAATAAGAAGAGTTGTATGAAGGTGCAGGATTTGATTTATTTGATCTTTGTAGAAAACTACTGCATACTCAAAGTTGTTCTCAAACATAACCATGACCCTGATCTCCTTGTCTCAAATACAGCTTAAGAAAGAAAACTACTGCTTGGATATTGCTAGCACTAGAAAAAAATTCAAAAGAAGTGGGCAGGTTAAAACATTAGAAGATCAGAGGATGAGGGTAATCCAGAGAATCCCTTGCATTAGTCTTCAGTACTCAGTAATGGGGAAGTCCTATCCTAAAACAATCCTGTACATGTAATAAAAATGAGGTGTTAAAGGACAAATTGGTAACTATGATCAAAACAGAGGTTCTGAATCCCTCCATCATCAAGGCAGTTTGAAATGGAATTCAAGGTACCACAGGAAACTTTTGTTCAGTTCCTCCAAATACTTCATGTCAACAACTAAATAGCCTCCCATCAAACCACAGAATTAAATAATCCTTCTCTTTCTGACAGGGTTGTTATAATGATACATTAGTACTTGGGAGCTCTTGGACAATGAAGTGATAAATCAGAAACAGAAAAGTTAAAAATGAATGTAAAAACCAAGTAAGTGAGGTGCCGCAAAACCCACGTATACTACCTATTGCCAAAATCGAGTAGAGTGAAGAGTACAGGTAATAGCATATTTAGCTTTGAGATTGGCGGAGATGCGGGAAACACTAAGAATTACAAACACATAAAACCAGCATTAGGTAAATTAGGTAAACTAGCAGACAAAAGAAGAATTTCTTAAGTTAAAACTGTGTCTCTGAAAAATACATCCATTCCTTGACGGTTATCACAAGTAAACTATTTTCCAGGGTTAGGAACTAATGAGAAAATATAGAGAGAAAGACTTGTGTACTTCTCAACTAAAAGGTAGGGCTAGCCAGGGGTCCTGAAGATCAGCGTAAATACTAGCATTTTATAAATTGTCTTTGTGACCTTTTTCTTTCCTATTTTTCTACTTCCTGTTTTATAATTTTTCTGCCTTGCTTTCTGTTTCTACGAATACATACTAATATTCACAAAAAACATTGATGAATGCATAGGAAAAATAACTAAGTAAACAGTGATACCGAAAATGTGTATAGATCCAAATATTCTGGTTAGTCAATAACAGAGAAAGTAGGAGACAAACCCATTAGAAAAGAAAAAGTAATCATTTTCTAGCATGATAAGAGGGAAAAATCAGCTGTGGACAGTATTAAAAATACATATTTGAATAAGAAAGGTCTGTCGATAGGTTCACATCAGCTGTAATTTGAACGTTCTTATCAGCTGTTCTTTGAAAACTACAGACAGGGACAGACCAAGAAGTAAGAAAACAAACTTTGGAAGGTGGCAGAATAGCCCTAATATGGCTTTGTAAGTCTTCTTTTGGAATCCTTATATTATCTCTAAGCAAATCATAGATAAAATGCAAGAGATTTAGAGAAGAGTACTCAAACTGATGGACAATGCAAAAGATTTCCATTTAAAAGATGAGACTAAACCCAGAAAAGTTTGTAGGGCGGTCACGCAGTGCTGTGTCCCCTGTGAAGTTTTAAGCGTTTGCCACTGTCGATAGGGTGATCCAAAGGGGATGAATAATTCTTTTGACCAGGATGGTTCACTGGAGCCAGCAGGTGATTTTTATGAAAGAGGGCAGAGCTTAAGCGAATGTCCTTGCACACACAAGACGATTTCCTCTTCCTCTCCTTGTAACACCTTATAGAGCTGGATTTCAATAGGCTTTGTATCGAAAGCTAGAATAGCTGCTTTCCGTTGGATTGAAACTTGAACTTGATTCAAACCATCTCGCTCCTGTTTCATGCCCCTCTGGAGTATATAATTCCACTTATCATCCCTTCCATCATCACCTTTGGGGACTTCCGCTATCAGAGGGTATTTCCAAATAGACTGGTTTCAAACACTAAGGGACAGTACCTAGGTCATAGCTCTTTTTGGCATTGTTCGGTCTCTTTACAAAAACATTGGTGATTTTATTTTTCAGTATGAGTCAGGAGTGTTTGATGGTATGATAGAAGAATAGCACTTATGAAAGCGTAGCCCTCTTGAAGACTTTAATTACTATGGAAATGGAAACTCGGAACCATACAGTATTAGACTAATCTGCATCAAGATACTCAGGTCTGATGGGTTATAGATAGACTCTGAAGCTACTACTGGAAACTCTCCGTAGAATGAGCCAGTTTTGTTGGTGACTGTTCTCACCAAGCCAGGTGGGCCATATGAT